AAACGTGCTCGTGATTCCCGATCTCTACATCAACGCTGGTGGTGTCACCGTTTCCTTTTTCGAATGGCTTAAAAATCTTAATCACGTGTCCTACGGTAGATTGACATTCAAATACGAAAAAGAATCGAATTACCACCTCTTGCGTAAGTAGTAGTAGTGGTAGTGGTGGTGGTGGTGGTGAAACCCATCATCGAACAATCGCCGGAAGATATCGTGAGGAAAAATTTTTATACTTTCCAGAATCCGTTCAGGAGAGTCTCGAAAGAAGATTCGGTAGAGTCGGTGGTACGATAGACATAACTCCGTCGGAATCTTTCCAAAAGAGAATCGCGGGTGCCTCGGAGAAAGACATTGTACACTCCGGTTTGGATTACACAATGGAAAGATCCGCGAGAGTGAGTTTTCATTATCATTATCATCATCATCATCACCTGGAAGGAAGTGACGTATAAATTAATCGTTTTAATTATTTTTCCAGGCGATAATGAAAACGGCCATGAGATACAATTTGGGTTTGGATCTTCGAACGGCCGCTTACGTGAATTCAATCGAAAAAATTTTCACGACATTTAGAGATGCCGGTTTAGCATTTTAAATTTTTTTTTTTTTTTTTTTTTTTTTTTTAGTAAAACGATTATAATAATAATCGCGGTGTCGCGTTGACGTCATCGCCGTCGACGTCATCACCGTCGTCGTCGTTGTTGTTTCGTCAGTAAGAAAATCGTTTTGTTCGTTTCACCGTATTTTTATTTTTTTTTTTATTTTTTTTCTTCTGTCTTTCGCGGGCGATGGATTTGTATTATTATTATTATTATTATTATTATTATTATCATTATTACTTTTTTTGTTTTTTTTTTTTAATCGCGATGCGATGTTTTACCGTCTCCCCTCTTTGTTACCCACCCCCTAGTAACCGTTACCGATTTTTTTTTAATTATTATTATTATTATTGAATATGCCCGCGTGCACAATAATAATAATAATAATGATAATAATTTTCAGTTATATTTAAACGCCGGTTATTTATATTTATATTTATTTATTTTTTTATTTTATTTTATTTTTTTTTGAATGAAATTTATCGGAAAAGAAAAAAGCATTGTTATTATTATTATTATTATTATTATTATTATTATTATTATTATTATTATTATTATTATTATTATTATTACCAATATTATTAATTATTATTATTATTTTTTTTTCTTTTAAATGATGAAAATAAATATAGTAAATAATGAATGAATGAATCGTAGAAATTTTATTTATTTATTATTATTATTATTATTAATATAAACAAAAAACAAACCGTCCAATTATTATTAATTAATTATTTGTTTTTATGATGACGTCATAATTGCCTTCATTTTCCTTTTCGTTGTTGTTGTTTTGTTGTTTTCCTACTTGAAAACAGTCACGTATGACTTTATTATTATTATTATTATTATTATTAAAATTGGATTTTAAATACGTGAAGATCCTAAATGAGTTTTTTTTTTGTTTTTGAAAAAGGGCGCCATATTTGAATTATTTAAAAATGTATACGTCATACGTACATATATGTGGGAAGCATTGGAATAGAAAAAAAATTTTTTTTACAACTTTTACATTGTAAAATAAACAATATTATTATTATTATTATTATTATTATTATTATTATTATTATTATTATTATTTGCTTACAATATACATTATATGTTTGTTTGTTTTTTTTTGTAGGGCATATTATTAAAATATTTACAATTAATTATTTTTATTTTTATTTTATTTATTAATATTAAGAATAATAATAATATTTACAATTTTTTTTTTTTATTATTTTTATTAACGACCACGTGACGATGACGATGACGAGGACGAGGACGATATTTAGTAATAATAATAATAATGATATTAATTTTTATTAAATTATTATTTGGGAAAATAATATGGGAAGGAAATAAAAAAAAAAAATTATTATTATTATTATTATTTTTTTTTAAAAATTTATTTTAAAAATTTTTATTATTATTACATAAAATTTTATTTATTTATTTATTTATTAATAATAATAATTTGTTGCGTTTCTTTTTATCAATTATTTAATTAATTAATTTATTCATTTATTACAAATTTGTCAAAACTTTAAGGTGAGGGATGAGGGATGAGGTAAGAGGTGCGGGGAAAAGGGGGGGGGGAAATATTAATAATAATAATTTAAAATGTGAGAAAAAATACGACGATAATAATAATAATAATAATCCGATTGATTTATTGATCGATCGATTCAAGTGGTTTAGGTAATGACTAAAAATAAAATTATTAATATTATAAATTATTTATCTTTTTATTATTATTTTTTTTTTATTTTTAATTACATTTATTATCATTATTATTTATTTAAATAAATAAATAAATAAAAAATGATAGTGATAACGACTATGATAAGGAATTTATATATATATAACAAATTAAATTCGATAATCGGATGAAGAAAAATAATATCAAATTAGGGGGGAAAAAAAATTTTTTTCTTTTTTTTTTTTTTATACATTACGTTTGTTTGTTTGTTTGTTGTTTGTTTGCTTACAAAAACAAACAAATTAATTATTTAAATTTCTTCATTTATTTAATTCTGGGCAGTGAAAAGTCGAAAAAATTTTTTTTGCGAATGAAAACGCAGGAAAAACGGTTTATGTTATCACCGTTCTTAATTAATATCATTATCATTTTATCACGTTCGTTTGTACGTTTGTTCGAACGCTTGTCGTGTTTGTTTAAAACCCCCAAAAAAATATTTACAAATATATATATATATATATAACACTCTGACAAATTTTCTTGTACGGTAAAATTATTTAAATAAAAAAAAATATTTTCAAGACACGTTTCTTTTCTTTCAAATATTATTATTATTATTATCATCATCATCATCATCATCATCATTATTATTATTATTATTATTATTATTATTATTATTATTATTTAAATAAACGTCGAACGATTTCGATTTAAACATTAAATAATTTGAAATTTTATAAATTTTTTAAATACTTTTCCCACGGTTTTTTTTTTTTTTTTTGTAAATACAAATGTAAATTGATATTCGTTTGAAAACGATTAATTTGTTTGTTGTTTGTTTGTTTGTTAACAAACAAATTTGAAATATTATTCTAGAATTTTCCAACCGAAAAAAAAAAATTTTTTTTTTTTTGATGCATGCGGCGAAAAATTTTAAATTGGCAGGTAGTTGTTGTTGTTCAATGGATGGACTCCTGAGATTTTTTTAATTATTATTATTATTATTATTATCATAATATCATCATCATCATCATCATTATTATTATTTACGCGGAAAAATTTCGAGAGACTTAATTTTCCGAATTGTTTGTATGTCTAAATAATTTCAAATTTTTACTCTTTCTAATATATATATACATTGCTAATAAAAAGCAAAAATTTAAATCAATAATAATAATAATAATAATAAAATGGAATGAATAACGGTTTTTCTTCTTCTTCCTTTTCTTAAACCGGAAATGAACAAATGTTCGCCAAAAAAAAAAAAAAAAAAAAAAAAAAAAAGTTTTTCCCAAAACTTGTGTGTTTGTGTGTGTGTGTGACGGAAATGAGAGTTTCGACATATTTTTTTTTTTTTTTACTTATTTATTTATTATTATTATTAATAATTATCATCATCATCATCATCGTCGCGATTATGTTTTGGCAAACATTTGTTTGTTGCCACCAATTTCCTCATCATGACTTTTACAATAATAATAATAATAAAACTTTCACACAAATTAAAGCTTTTACTTTTAGACTAAAGAAATTATTAAAATTAATCATTATTATTTATTTATTTATTTATTATTATTATTATTTATTATTATTAAAGCTCACTGCTCTACTTATGATTTATTACGACGACGAACGTTTTTTTTTTTTTTTTTTTTTTTTTTTTTATGTAATTTTAAGTGTTCGAATAAAATTATTTAAACTATATATACGTATCACTGAAAATTCAACAACCTGTGTCATCCATAATTGCTGTTGCTGTTGTTGTTTTTCTCTTTTTAAATTTTCTCTCTCTCTCTCTCTCTTTACCTTTCACCCGTATCAGAAATTTATTTAGCTGCTATAAACGAAAAAAAAAAAAAAAATTTTTTTATTAACATTATACAATAATTGTAGTAATAACTCGGGTGAAAGGTAAAGAGAGAGAGAGAGAGAGATGTGATTTAATGTTCAAATTTAATTTTCCTCATAATCCTTTTCTTGTTGTGTCCTTGGGGAACTCTTCGCAGTAAGTGTGTCAGATTTTGTATTCCTTTGCGAACAATGGTTCGATTCATTCAACTTGTTATAATATTTCCATTAGACACATTATTATTATTATCATCATCTTCTTCTTCTTCTTTCTTTTCCATTTTTCTTTTATTCGTTTTGATTTATGTTATGCAAATATTTACAAATAAACCACCCACTATCAACTCGCTGTTCAACACTTTCAATGGCAACAATCGTTTGTTGTCTTTCATTGTTTTTCCTTTTCCGTTTGCACTTTTTATATTTTACCTACATAATCAATTTTCTTAAATAACATTATGTTTGTTTGTATTGTATTCACATATAATTCATCATTTTTCCATATTTAATAAGTAACCCTTTAATACATTTACATATATATATATATATAAATTAAAATATTTAATAAACACATTTCGGTTATTAACTGCTTGTCGATGCCATTGGGGATACTGGACTTAGAGGACTTCGACTAGAATCACGTAGATTTCCATTAACAGTAACTACAACTTTTCTAGAGCCAGCATGGTCTCTGTGCTCGCACAGCCATATTCCCTGCCAAGATCCTAAATTAAGTTTCCCATCCGTTATGGGAATTGTCAGAGAAGAACCTAAGAAACAAGCTTTCACGTGCGCCGGCTAAAATATATATATAAATAATTAATTTTTTTTTTTTTTAAATTTCAAATTGTTTCTTTCGATATTCAACAAAAATGATGAAAAAATCATTACAACTAAAATATATATATATATATAAATCTAAACCTACCATGTCATCAGGTCCCTCACACGAATGTCTGTAAGGCAACCCCTAAAACAAAATACAAAAAAACTAATGTAAATACTTTTTACAGAGAAATATTAACATATAAATAAATCTAATTTTCATATTTTCTCTCTGTCTCTTTTTTTGTCATTTTCTAATAAAACTAATTGTTAAGTAATAATTATACATTATGTATTTCAAATATCATGCATTTACTATTAACAATTATATTATTTATGTTTGTACAAATCGAATAAAACATTTCGACAAGAAGAAGAAAATAAAAATTTACATATCGATTTTAATTTATCATATTCGATTAATCAAAAAATATTAAATTTTTTTTTCCATACTCACCTCAGGAACAATTTTATTAAGCATCATCTCCATATCATCTCTGAAAAAAAAAAAAATTTAAATTAGTGATTATTATTTATTTAAAAAAAGAAAAAAATTATTATTATTATTAAAGTAAAATTAATTTACCTAACATCGGGATCCCAACTTTCATTAAGTGCTAGACTGGCTGATGTATGAAGAACTGTAAAAGTAAAAATAATATTAATAATAATAATAATAATACTAATAATTATATAATTGAAATTTCATTCATTTTAAAATTGTACAATCATAATAATTGTAAATAAAATATTCGAATGAAAAGAAAAGCGATGAATAAAAATTTATTAAGAGTCATGAAAATATGTAACAATGTGAAAAAACTGACAATTTTTTTTTTTTTTATATTGTTAATTCCATTTAATAAAAACAATAAATTAATGATAATAATAGAATTATAGAAAAAAAAAACAATGGTATTAAAATGTGATGATTGATTGTCTTTTGTTTATCTCGAATTAAAATGTCACATTATTAAAATGTTTTGATTGTTGTTTAAAAAATAAATAATTTAAAAATATTAATAAATTTGAATGATTTTAAGTTTACAATAATCAAAAATTATAGAATTTAAAGAAAAAAAAATGGTAAATGTTAAAAAATTGATAATGATAATATTTAAATATAACATTTAATAAGTTGAACTATTATCACTTGGTATGACATAGGCCATGAACTTCATGCTAATCATTATACAACAATGATTTTGACCTTTTCATTATTTTAATTTAAAATAAAAAATTTAACGAAATTATTTTCACTTTACTGATTTTAATATCGAATAATAATAATGATACAAGAGGGGAAAAGAAAAAATTTTTTTTCCAATGGAAAAATAAGGTTTTAATATCTACCTAATGTTTTATGTGGGCGGAATAATTTTTTTTATAAAAAAAAAAAAAAAAATTTAAATTGTCATTAACTTACTTTGCACATGAAATAAGCCAACGGAAAATTGGCATATTTCTGGCATTTGCCTAAGTATTTCTTCCGTTACTAAATGCACGCCTCGGTGCTGTGGTCTCAGATTGACTTTACGCTGAAACCACGCCGAACCCATTTGAATTCCCCTGTTTGAGGAAGCCATGTTGAGCGACACACCGATGATGATATTACCGGGTGCCGTGTGTGTGTGTGTATATGAAATATCACTATAATCCCACAAAGGGAAAAAAAATTAGATGCTATGATTTGTCATTTGTTTTTATAACTTTCATGTTTTTCGTTCTCATTTTTCATTTCAATACGTAACAAACATAATCCAGTTAAAATATAAATATATCTATTTATTTGATCGAGTAAAAACTGCACAACGTATATCCACAGCACTACGATAGCACTAACTTCTAAAATTATCCACCAGACTGCGGTAAAATAAAATACAGAATTTTCAGAGCGGCAAATATTCAACGTCAAACTAAAAAGTTTCTGGGTCAAAATTGACCCCCCCCCCCATTAAAACTAAAACTTTTCTTTAAAAATAATTACAAATATCTTTCCTATAATTAAATCAAATAAATTATAATCATATATCGAAATTTTAATTTAAAAAAAAAAATAAAGTTAACATGATATTAACATATGTGTCACCATTAACATGTGTTTGTTAATGAGGAAAATGATCATCATGGTGTCATCATAAGAAAAATATTAAAAATATTAATTATATTTAATTAATCAATACTTTTCCAGCATTTACATTAATTATTTATTTTAAAAAAAGCCTGATGATAATTATCATGATGGTAATAGAGTTTATTTATTGGCATAAAAATAAATTTTCTTATAAACAAATGTAAAACATGAAATTTTCCAACTTTTCCTTTTCCTTTTCATTTTTTTTTTTTTTTTGGGGGGGGTTAAAAATAACCAAAAAAAACCATTTCAAGGTTGTATATGAAAAGTTATCATACAAACTAATTATAAAAAAAATAAAAAATTTGGCGCCTAAAAAAAAAAAAAAAAAAAATCAACAAATTGATTGATATATTGAAAAAAAAAAATTAGAAGAATGCCGCAACAACAATTAAAATTTTTGTGATTTTGCGCAAATGTAATTCGACTCGAGAACAAAAAATTAAAAAAATTTTCACATCATCAACAAAAAGGTTTGAAAAAAAAGATAATAACAATACATATTAATAATAATAATAATAATAATAATAAATGTTTTCCGTATGAATATTTATTTATTTTGTTATACACGATAAAAATCAACACAAAAGTTTTTCTCAACGAATCTCATCTCATCTCACTTCTTTGTTATATATAAAAAAAATTTTCTTCGTTTCGATAGGAAAAAATAAATAAATAAATAAATAATAATTTCATCATTCATGTCATCGCTTTTCATTGGAAAAATGCAATCGTTTTACAGAAGGAATTCATTACATAATCAATCCACAAGTCAAAAATCACCAAATAAAATCAAAAAAGGTAAGTTAATCATTATTTTCCTTTTCTAAATTTATTATCATTATTATTATTTTTCACTTTCCAAAAACAACAACAATAACAAAAATAAAAATAAAATTTTCCCTCTTTAGAGACTCGTTTTAAAAAAATCAAAGAAAATGGAAACAAATATGGCGAAGGTGACGTAGACGAAGATGATAATAACGTCATCTCGTCAACTCGTGAAAATTACAACGGAGAAAAATCATTTAATACGAATCATCATTATCATCATCATGATCCTTCTGGAGAATTCGTAAATGATGATAAAAAAACATCTTTACCGATAATTAAAATCGAATCTTACGATAATCGTAACAATGTTAAAATTATTATCAACGATAATAAAAATGGCGGACGAAGTAAACAACATGACGAAATAACGGATAATTCCATACGTTTGGGACCAAATAAAAATAACATAATCGAAGAAGAGCTTAAAAGAGAAAAAAAAAATTTCTAAAATGTTTAATTAAAATCCTTTTCTTCCCTGTCTCTTCCTCCTCTTTCAATCTTTTGTTTTTGTTTTAACCTCCATCAAAAAAATATAATTATATTTTTTTAAATAAAAAACATATTTAATTATTATTATTAATTTAAAACTTCTTTTGATTGTTTTTGTGTCGTTTTCAATTTCGTTAACAATCCTGCAAATGTTGAAAATTTTCTGCTTGATGATTTTGTTCTTTCTTTTTCCATAATTTCATCAATGGATATTCCTGAAAATTAAAAATGAATGATTTGTTATCATGACAAATGTTTAGTCTTATCAGTTAAACCTATTAATACTTCAATAGTTGGCAACATTGTTGGTAACAAATGTTGTAAAAGTTTTTCAAACAAACAACATCAAATCAATCGACGCCATTTTCTATATATATACCTAAATTACTCTCTCTTCTGCCATTTTCTCCTCCATCTTGTTTTTTTTTTAAAGAATTTGAATAATCATTTATTTTATTATCAACATCATAATCTTCTTTCACGTTACAAGAATAATAATTTCCAGAATTTAACGTGGCTTGTGATAAAACATCCGATTGTGCTAAACTTTCAGTATCGGATTTAAATTCTGCTCTTACTCTATCCAAAGCTCTTTTCAAATCCATTTCATCCATGTCAGAATTATGTATCATTCTTAATCTTTTACGAAATTTTTTTGTTATTTTTTTCCTTATGAAATCAGCTTCTATTTCTTGTTTTGTTCTTGGTATTCTAAATCTAATGCAACAACAGAGTATGATTGCTACAGGCCCCCCCCCCAAACAAACAAAAAAAGACAATTATTACAAAAAAAAAAAACAAAATGGAGGAAAATGTCACCACTTACTAAGTGTTAATATTCCAGCCAAACATAAAAACATTATTTGCCAAACTCTAAAACCTGCAATTGCTTCATTTTCAAGCCAATGTACTGTTAAAAATGGCGTTTCCGTTACGGATTCGTTTAAACAATTCTATAAACAAACAAACAAACAAACAAACAAAATTTTCATTTCCATCAATTTGTTTTTAACAATAATAATTTATAGATAGGTACTTACCTTCATTTTACATTCTTCTTTTATCATCATATTGATTATATAAATGTTTTTTTTTTTTCGGTTAATCGTTTGCAACTGGACTTGGAAACGACAAACAAGTCATGGAAAAATTGGGGGTTTGGTAAAACAAAAAAAAAAAGCAACCACACCCAAACACACACAAAAAAAAAAAAAATGGAGATGAGAGAGAGAGATTTAATCGATTATGTATAAAGCTTCTCTCATATTAAACCATAAAAACTTTCTTCTCTTGAATATTTCCAGCTTCTTAATCAAATATTAAACCTTATCCCTATCCTATGTTGTACCTGTGTGTGTGTACCTGTTTGGGTAACGGCCTAATACGTCACACACACACGCACACAAGCTTCCATAAAAAAGAAACAAAACATAACAAAAAGCCATTTTTAAAAGTTTTTTACAATAATAATTTATGAACAATTTATAAAAATAACCGCAATGATAATAATAATAATGATGATGATGATGATGACACAATTATATTAACAAAAAACTATGATAAATCATCATTATCATCGTCGACATTTTTAATATCAAATCAATTACGAAAGTCAAAAAAAAAAAAAAAAAAAAATACAAAAAAATTTTAAATGGCGACGATTAATACAACCGAATAATTTTAAATAAATAAATAAATAAATAAATAATAATAATAATAATAATAATTTATTTTGTTAATAGCATTTCTTTATAGTAGCTTTGCTTCAAGTTGAGCGAGTGCAAATTCACTCAAGGTTTTTTTTTTTTTTTTTTTTTTCTATTTTCCTCCTCCTTAATTTTATTTTTATTTTTATCCCGAGGGATAATAATCGTTTTTTTTTTATACGGTTTGAAAAACTACCAAAAAAGAAAAAAAATTATTTATTTATTTATTTTTTTTCCAACGGCCTTCTTCGAATAACAACAAACTCTCAATTATCATTTCTTTTTTTTTCTCCAATCTGGAGAGAGAAAAAAGGGGGGAAAAGCGGGGGAAAAAAAAGAAAAGGGGGAAGGGATAAGGTAAATTTTCGTGTAGAAATAATCGTTTAGACCGTTATTTATACAAAACACGCAAACCATACTAAAAAAAGAAAAATTTTTTTAAACGGTTAATCAATGAATGAAAATTTATAATTTTTTTTTTTTTCTTCAACAATTTTTTGTTTGTTTGTTTGTTTGTTAACGTTTATATCCCATTAATTAATCGATCCCTCATTAAATATATATATATATAATAAACAATCATTTGTTTCATTTTAACTCATAAAAATATATATATGAGACTATCATAAAATATTTCTACGACTAATAATAATTAATAATAAGCATACAATTTATTTGCATGCAATGGTAAAAACTTCTGCTTCTTCTTCTTCTTTCAAAAAACAAAATGGCGTCTTTTATTAAAAATGTCGTTAAATAATTTCTGTTGTGAAAATTATTGATGTATAAAATTGACATCATCACGATTTTATCCAGGTTTTATATTTTTATATTTTCTAAGAGTAAAAACAATATTGTAAGTTTTTTTTTCTTTTTTTGTAAATAACAATTTTCTGGAATGTTTTACAAAAAAGCGACCGTTATTAAATTTTTAATCATTTGTTACAATTTTAATTTTATATATATATATATAAATAAAAAAAAAAATTAAATATTGCAAATGAATCCCTAATTTTTTTGTTCTTTTTTTTTTTTCATTTTATTACAATATAACAACTATTTAAAGAAACATGTAAACTGACACTTGATTGGTAATAATTATAATAATAATAATATTAATAATAATAAATTTCAGTAAAAATAACAAAAAAAAAAAAACTATTTTTCTTTTTCATGTAAATGTCTATTGCATTATATAAACGGTTAATAATATTTTCACTTTTTTTATAAAATAATATTGCTTATTAATTATTATTATTATATTTGTAAAATTTTCACCGGCTGGTTTTATTAGTCCAGAAACAATATTTACTTTACGATATTTTAAATAAAATTTATGATTTATAAAAAAAATAATAATAATAGCTTAAAACAAGCGCCAACAACTAAGAGTTTTAAAAAAAAAGGGGGGGAGGGGAGGGGAGGGGAAAAGAAAAGTAAAAAAAAAAAAAAAAATTATCTCAAAAATAATAAGAAAAAATTGTTTCCTTTTCGTTTGGAAAAATGTTTCGAGTCATAACTTTTTTCATCCTACCTGTAGATAAAAATCATTCCTTCCTGATAAATGTTCGCCCCCTGAATAAAAAAACCAAAAAAATAATGTTGACGAATGGTGTAGTGTGTAAACAGGGGGGGGGGGGGGGTAAAATCCATGATGGGGTGTATGAGTTACTCACGTTATTGTTTTCTTTTCAACTGTTTTTGGTTCTGGTCTAGCACGATTGAGCACTTTTAAAAAATCAGATGTTTTGGCTCTCATTCTTGAATGAATATAAGCTTTTGAGCACTTTATATGATAGTGAAGATAATCTCTAAACATGTGTATTAAATTTATCGTGTTGTCCCTCGTTTGAGGGTTTGTGTGTCTCGGAAACAAAACTGTAGAAAAAAAAAAAAAAAAAAAAAACATATTTTTTGATTTGTTTTTATTAATTTTACCACTCTTTAAGTTACCCATTATGTTTGAGTTAAAAAAAAAAAAAAAACTTACCAAATGTAATATAACCGATATTTTCTCCAACTTTAGCATCTGTATTTATAAGTTCTAAAGGTGGTTCCTTGTGGCTAAATAAAACCTGAGGAGCAGTGTGACTTGCTCTCCTTCCCTCTTTAAATTCTTGCATAAATACTTTTCCAACAACAATATCGTCTACATCTTTAAAAACCGTGCTAAAAACTACTGTAACTCTATCTGCTTTGGCTTCGACATACCTGTAATAATTATCATAACATTTACAAATTATTTCAAATGACTTTTTCAAATTATCCTAAATTCATACTCACAGCGTTTCATCTGCTCTGTAATTAATGACAGCTCTTTTATGTCCATCTTCGCCTTTCGCTTGAAAATCGAAATATTTTTCAAAAACAGATGCGAAACAATTTCTTTTTAACAAGCCAAATTTTTTAATTAAATTTTCCCAGTCTTTAGGTATATTTTCTAAATCGATAAGCAGTGATACGTTAAAACCATTTTCAGGTTCAATTAAATAGGGACCATATTCTCTTTTTAATAATTCATCCGCACCATGTTCTTGAAGTTGTTTGTAAAATTTTAACGATATACTCGTCCTTATTTTAGTTTTATCTCCTCCAACGTTTGATATATGAAATAAAACACCATCAAAATCTGCTATCGTTATATCAATTGACTCCGGTTTATGTCTGAAATGTGGAAAAATAAATATGGTTTATATGTACCACGAGCAAAGTAATAATGAAAAGTAACCCAATTTTTTTTTTTCCTTATCACTCGTTTTTTTTTTAAAATCGTAACAAAAAAGCCAATAATTTCAATAAGAAACCCAGATAAAAAACCTTAAGGGTATTAATTTAACGGTTAGGATAAATATTTTTAATAAATTTTTTTTTTTACTGACTGACTGCACCCAGATATGGCTCAAATTCCAACCTACCGGTGCTAATACAAAAAAAAAAAATATGCACGTACATATATATGTAAATAAAAATACATTAATTTATTTCTTACCCAGCGAGAGCATTTTTTATTTTTAACGTTAACGTATCTTCAACAATTTTATTATTTATTTCTAATAAAATCATTTTAAATAATATTCTCAAACATATAACACACAGAGAAGAGAGAGAGAGAGAGAAAAAAAAAAAAAAAAAAAAAATTACTAGAAAAAAACAAGTATTTCACTATATATATATATGTATTAATCACCCTGGGTGTATAAAACCGGAAGTTATTATACTTATCCAAAGAAATGTCAAAGACACTCTCTCTCTCTCTTTCTCACTCACTCTTTCTCTCTCTCTTTCCGTCAAAGGAATTGACTCGATGAAAGTAATTAAAAAAAAATTGTCTCTCACTATTGGCTAAACATAAATGAAATCAAAGCCGAATTTAAAATAAGTAAAAATTTTGATTTTTCTTTCATATTTGATATTCGTATTTTTCGTTGTGGGCATGAATTTAAATTATATCATCATCATCATCATCAACATCAAAATCAAAATTAATTATGATAACTGGTAAGTTTCGTTTTCAATTAATTAAAATCAATTAATTAATATATTTTTATTAATCGTTTCAAAATTATTTTGCACACGATCACATTTTATTATTTATATATATATATATATTATTTGTTACACCATTCACGTACAAAAAAAAAAAAAAAAAAAAAAAATTTGCGGCATTAATGATTCTTTTCGGAGTGTACATACATACATACATAACATCGTACACTTTGTTTAGATTTTTTTTTTTTTTTTTTTTTTTTTTTTTAAAAAAACATTTTATTTTTTTTTTCGTTTCGTTAATTATTTTTTTTAAAAATTAAATCAAGTTTTTTTTTTTATTAAAATTTTTTTACCGTTGATTAAATTTTTTTTTTTTAATAATCATTCATATTTGTCGGATTTAAAAAAAAAAAAAAAAAAAAAAATGATTTTTTTTTGTTTTCAGATTCTTGTAACTGTGATAAAAGTGGGCATGGTTGCACTAAGGGTCTTAGCAGACCTCACCAACCTACATGGTGTCCTGTTTGCGACCGTAACAAAATGAAAAGACGTTGTCAAAGTGAAGGTCTTTATCAAGAAGGTGACCCTCTAAAAGAATTAAATTGGTGCTGTGAAAGAGGCTGTGACTTACTTAATAGAACGACAAAATTTAGTCAAATAAAAAAGACTGAGTTAGATTTGAATGAAAAAAAATTTAATTTTACCGGAGATGTCGGAATGGAAGGTGGTGACAATTATTTTAGTTTTAATAAAAAACACAATTGCAAAATATATAAGGAAAAAAATGATGTCGAATTGGTTAATAATGGTCACATACAAAATTCCAATTACGATATTTGTTCCGATTTGGATTTAAAATCGCAAGGAATAAATAATTATTTATATTCGAGTCCGGATAGACTTAAACAAAGAGATCATTTGCATAGTTATAAAGTGAGATATCATTCGAGTAGTGGAGATTATAATGATGTCATGTCTGCGGCTAAATCATTGGATATGGATAACGAAAAGGATAATTCAAACGAAATGAAAAATTTATACATAAGGGAAATGGAAATACTTAGGAATAATCTTAGTCTTCTTAAGGATGGTTTAGCATGCGATGGTAAAAGAATGAGGCAAAAAAGTGAATCTGAGCCGGGATTTTCAGAACTTTCCGGTGGAGTGCCCAAAAGAGCTAGAGACAATTCACCGAAATTAAAAAAAACTGGTAGGAAATTACCCATGACTCCGATTGGTCATTCTACAATCGAACAAATTCCCTTTCAGTCACCTCAAAGACAAAGTCCATCGTTTGCAACAAAAGGAGATGAAAAAGTAAGGATTTTAAATAATTAAATTATTTACAAGTATTGTAAATGAAAGTGCGATATTAATTTATAATTCTTTTTTTTTTTTCTTTCCAGAAAGAAATTTATGTTTCAAATCTTTGTAATGGCATAAAATTAAGTAAAGAAAACGAAGAAGAATTGGAAAGCGATTCTGAAGATTATGTTAATGAATGTAAATTAAGTTCGAAAAACAAAAATAATTTAGCCGATTCAGTTAGTGATGATGGTAATAATTATTATTAAAGGAATTTATTAAAAATTATTACTGTAACATGTTTGAAAATTTCTTTTTTTTTCATGATAAAATTTCAGATGCTGTTTCAGTATCTAGTTCTACGACATCATCATCTTCAAGCGATTCAAATACTCCTTCCAAAGTGGGTGAAACATTGGGTTCGATTTCATTGAATGAACATTTGGGACCATTTGGGAATTGTGAAGAAAATAATGTTATCGTGGGTAAAACGTTAAAAATAATTCCTGGAGAAGATGATTTATTTAGAAACAGTTTATTTCCAAATGTTCCTCCTTATGTTAAATTTTTCATGCATGATTTAAAAGGTAATCAATGAAAATGAAATATGATAAATGAATATTTAATTTAATTATTATTTAATATTTATAGGACCCACCTTACCTGTCGATATAAGGAAACATTTAAAATGGAGACTGAGCAGCATCACTCCGATAGTTATTAGAAGAACTCTTATTAACTCAGGTTTTAAACTTGTGAGAAGTGAGTTTACTCAAGGTGTGCATGCTATTCGGTTTTGGTGATTTTTTTTTTATTTTCTTTTTTTCCACCCCCCCTCCCTCCCTTCCCCTTATTCTCAAAATGAATTCGATTGTGAGAAAAAAATGAAAAAGATCAAAATAAACAAAAAAAAACTAAAAAAAACTTTTTCGAACATGTTACATTAATTATTTTGATCTTCATTTTTTGTTTTCATATTATTATTATTATTTTATTTTTTTTTTTTTAAATGCATGTAAAATAATTACAAAATCTACAATTTTATTTATTTATTTATCTTTTCTATCATCTAATAGACTCTCTTTGTAATAATAATAATAATAATAATAATGAAAAGTAGTAGTTTAGTTTATAATTTATGTGATTTTGAATTTTTTTTTTTTTTTATTCCCCCCTCCCCCTCCCCCCCATACATGTGTTATTTTAAACATTTATAATAACAATTTATACCAAATCTTAGGAAACTATGAACGTTTCGACGATGTTCTCCAAACTCCTTCTTACAGAACTCAAGATACTAAATTTTCACTACTGTATAACCCAAGACCTCCTAAAAAACAAACTAGAGGTATGACAAATTAAAAAAAAAATTAAGACATTTTAGGGTTACCGCCATTTTGTTATTTTACAAAATATAAAAATTCCAATCTTATGTGAAAAATGATAAATGATAATAATGATGGATTGATTATATGTTCGAGTAAAAATTTTTTTTTTTCTGTACATATTTTTTTTCAGAATCAAACGAATGGACTGGACAATGGGGTAAACACATGAAATCATTCGTGTTCAGAACATTAAAAGATTTTCAAAAGCTCAATCATTTTCCTGGCACATTCCAAATCGGGAGAAAAGATAGATTGTGGAAAAATTTATATTCTCTCATGATGAAATTTGGCAAGAAAGAGTAAGAGAGAGAGTAATATTAAATTTTATTATATGTAATAATCATAATATTATTATTATTATTATTCACAGCCCATAAATATTTATTATTTTATTTTATTTTTTTCATTTCTTGAATTTATATTAATAATAATAATAATAATAAAATTGTATTTTCAAGGTTTGGATTCATCCCAAGAACGTTTATTCTTCCACACGATCGTAAATTGTTAAGAACGGCGTGGGAAAAAGCGTCGGGAGTAGGGAAAGGACAGTGGATAGTTAAACCGGTCCGCCATATTTGTTTTTTTTTTCTTTTAAAAAATTATTCTTCTTCTTCTTTCTTTTAAGTTTGGTTATTTTTTTTTTTTTTTTTTTTTTTTTTTGCAGCCGGCTGCAGCGAGGGGAACCGGTATAAAAGTAGTTCACAGATGGGGTCAAATACCTAAGAAAAAATCACTCATCGTACAGAAATACATTGCTCAACCTTATCTAATTAACGGAAGTAAATTCGATCTTAGATTGTATGTTTTAATGACGAGCATACATCCGTTACGAATTTATTTATACGATGATGGACTCGTTAGATTTGCATCTGTTAAATATTCCGAAGATGTCGAATGTTTAAGCAATAGATTTATGCATTTGACTAATTACAGCATAAACAAACTTAGTAATCAATATCAAGTGAATGCGGATGCTTCCTCCTGCCACGGACACAAATGGTATACCGTGATGATGATGATGATGATGATGATGATAGTAAAACAAATACAAACTTTCTTGCAATTGTTTTTCAGGAGTTTGAAAACATTGTGGGTGTATCTGGCCAAGCAAGGGGTCGACGTGAAAGCCTTGAGAAAAAATTTAACGGATTTAGTTATAAAAACGATAATAAGCGGAGAATCGAATATAAATATATTGAGTAAAAACAATTTACCGTCGAGGTATTGTTCGTACGAATTGTTCGGTATCGACGTTCTTTTAGACAACAATTTAAAACCTTGGCTGTTGGAAGTGAACATTTCACCCTCTCTCCATTCTGCGTCGCCTTTGGACCTTGCCGTGAAGGGTCCTCTCGTCAAAGAACTCCTCAACATCGCGGGTTTTCAAATACCGGCCAAATTGACAAAAGAACAAGAACAGAATTTTTTGGAAAGCAAGGGTCTTTCGAAAAGGATACACACTTTGTGCTACGACAAAAGACTTTATTGGATGTCGCTGAGCAAAGAGGAAAGGATCAAACAGGAAACGTTTTGCAACATGACGAGGAAAGAGGTAAAAAAAAGAAAAAAGAAAATGGCGGAAACGTTAAAAGAAAAAATGTATAAACGGGGATTCATTATTTTATTTTTTTATATTTATTAGTATTTGAAAACGATATTGGAAGAACTCACGCCTGACGATGTTCGACACCTCATACAATTTGAAGATGAGTTGACGCAATTGTGCAGGTTTGTCGAAGTTTGGTAGAAAAAAAAAAAAGTTTTTCCCTCCCCCTTCATTTTCCGACCGTTAATTTTTTTTTTGGGTTTTTTGGGTTAGGTTTGAAAAAATTTTCCCAACGAATCGAACTCATTCGTATCATCAATATTTTGAAGCTCCTCGTTATTACAACATGATGTTGGATGCTTGGGAAACGAAATATCGGAAAAATCGTATGGAAGGTATCATGTTGCTGTCGTCTCTTTGCCGACAAAAATTTCACTTGAACGTGTCATTAGGAATTGGAAAAACAAAGGTAACAAACTTTGGATAAATTACCGAAAAACCCACCCGCAACATCATCATCATCATCATCTATTGCTTTGTTTGTTTGTTTGTTTGTTCTCCAACAGACAAACAGACTTTCTCGCTCACTAAAAATTTTTTTTGATTTATTTATTAATTTTTTTCTCGAGGAAAAAGTTGTCTTACTTTTGAGGACATTATATCACCATTATAAAAAAGTCGAAAGGAGTAAGTTTGATATAAAAGAAAAAAGAAGCAAAAATTAAACAATTTTTAGTCATAATTTTAGTCGTGTAAAAAACTAATTAAAATAATTAGTCGTGTGTGTAACGATAAAACTTATTTATTTATTTATTAATTATTTAATTAATTAATTAATTAATTCTTTTAGTTGATATCCGTTCATCTTTCACAAGAGATATAAGTGTTTATTTTTTTTTTTTTGGTAAATTTAAAATTTTTGGTTGATTTTAGTCGGAGAGAGAGAGAGAGAGAGAGAGAAAAATACTAACAATAATAATGATAATAAATTAAATATAGAATAGTTTTGAGTAGAAAAGGAGGAAAAATTTTTCCCACACGTGGATTTAAAACAATAAAATTAGTCGTAATAATAAATTAGGTTTTTACCGTTAGTAATTAGTTGTAAGATTTTTTTAAATAAAAAAAAAAAAAATGTTGGTAAAATTATTATTATTATTACTACTATTATTATTATTATTATGTGTGATAGTTTAATATCGGGACTTGTTTGTAGATTGATTTAGGGTAAAGTGTAATTATCATTCGGGATTAAGGGAAGTTGGTTGTACGATAATAATAATTTTTAGATTTAGCATTTTAACGATTTCTCACGTGACGATGTGACGTCATACGACAGACGACGTTTTTCTGATGTTTAGAATGTTGATATTTCAGGTCTCGCCGAACCTGAGCGATCTGCAAGAGTTTGAATTGGAAATGGATTTTTGTAAAGAGGAAAAAGAGATTTGGGAATCGGAAACGTGCGAAGAAGAGAAAAATGAAAAAACGGTTGCGAAAAGAATGACGTCATCGAGGTCACCTTCACCTTCTCATCGTAGGAGAACGAATTCGCCTTCGAGTCACGTTTCTTCTTCGTGTACGACGAAATCGAAACCTTGCAAACACCCCTCCGTCGTGTGTAAACCTTCGGGTATAACGTCTCAAATGCCGAGTCTGAGATCGAAAATCGCTCTACTGTCTTCTCCTTTAAAATCCAGTATCGTGCAATGTTGTAACGACATTGCGGTCGTTGTTGAAACGAGAGGAGAATGCCAAGTGTCGGAAACGACGGTCGTGGAAACGACGACGACGACGACGACGACGCCGCCGCCGCCGCCATCATTAAGTCTCGATAGTATCCCGTCGGAAGAGTCGTCGTCGTCGTCGTCGTCGTCGACAAGCCTTAAAACAACGACGGACACGTCGGATGAAAAACAAGATGAATTAAAACAATTATCGAATTGCAAATCGGAAAATTCGGTTGTTGTTGTTATCGAGAGTGCGGGGAGTGACAAGAGCGGGAGTGATGTTATTATTTCGCCCACAACAAAAAACTCTCACAATTCGTGTATAAAAATGAGTTCCAGTAGTTAATTTTTAAAATGGAGAGAACGAAGTGATGAAAAGGTGGAAGATGAAAACGAAAACAAAAACGAAAAACGAAAAACGTGAAGAAAGAAAGAAAGAAAGAAAGAGAAAGAGAAAGAGAAATAAAAAGAAAATACTCAACAAATAGTGAATAAATAGATAAATTTTTAGGATTTACGATTGCACATTTTGAAATAAATTTAGGGTAAGAAAACGAAAATTAAAAGGGAAGGGAGGGAAAAAAAAAGTGGAGCAGGGAAAAAAAAAAAAGTGAAGCAGGGAAATTAATTTTAGCGGGGAAAATCGTCGTGGGTAACAAGTTTTTACGTATAAAGTAGGAGAAGGTTATTATAATAACATTTGTAATAATCGTTCGAACGTGTTAAACAAAATCAAATTAATTTTTAACGGTTTTTTGTAATAATTTTTTTTTTTTCGTTTTTTTTTTTTCATTCGTTTTTATATTTTAATTTGCTATTTATTAATTATTACATATAAGTTTTTTTTTTTCTTTTCTTTTTTTCTTTTTCTTTTACTTTTACTTATATACTTTTTTTTTTTTTTTTTGGAATCATAAGTTTTAAGTTATAATTTTCTATCTATCTATCTATTATTATTATTATTATTATTATTATTATTATTATTATTATTATTATTATACTCTATCTATAATTACTATATTCTTTTGTAAATTAAACATATATATATATATATATTTCACGTAATTTTATTTTATTTTATTTTATTTTTATTATTTTTTTTTTTTTTAGTGTAACGTTTACGAAAAAAAAAAAGAAAGAAATTTTTACACGTAATTATTATTATTATTATTATTATTATTATTGTTGTTTTTTTTATTTATTTATAAATTACAAAAATAATGCAAAGTGAATAAATAAAAAAAAAAAAGAAAAGAAAAAAGGAAAAATGGCGAAACGGTTTTTTTTTTTTTTGTTTGGTAAAGTAGTCATGTTTTTATTTTTGTTTTTATTAATTAAAAAAAAAAGGAGAGCAGAATTTTTTTATATATTTTTTTTTGCAAGGAATCCGTATAAAAAGTTAACTTTGATGGCTTTGAACATGTATTGATAATAATTTAATATTTTATTATTATTATTATTATTATTATTGTTTTTGTTTTTGTGGATTTTATTTTATCAAATACAAATGTTTGAAAATGGAAGAGATTAAAGAAAAAAGAAAAAATTTTCTCCGATTCTGATGGAAATCAACAAAAATAAGAGGTAAGAAATGTTTTTTTTTTTTTTTTATAAAATAATTTTATTTATTATTAAAATATTGTTTGTTAACAATTTGAAGTTTAAACAATGATAAAATTATGTACATAAATGTATAAATCTATTAACAATAATAATAATAATAATATCGAATAAGAAAGTATAAAAATAAATTATTTTTTTTTTTTTTTCTCGTAAAAATGCTTATTGAGGTTACAAAAAATATGGATTAATAAAAAGTTAATAATAATAAATAAATAAATAAATAAATAATTAATTAATTAATTAATGAGTTGTTTGTAAAAATAAATCACAGCACATAATAAGGCACTATTATTTATAATAAATGCTCGAGAGTATTACGATATAATTTTTTTTTTTCTTATACGATTAATAATGGCACAGATGATTCTGTCATATATTTATCATCGTCTTCTAACGGAATGGATAAATTTATTTTAGATTTAACATTGACATTTTCTTTTCGACTGTTATTTATGAAAATCATACAAATAAAAAAATTAATGAGGATTAAAATCCACACGAAGGGATCAATATTGGAGGATAAAAATAAATTATGAGCAATTAAACTGCATGAAATTTTAGAGATTCCTTCGATTAGTAAAAAATTTGGTTGATTTGATATTTTAAAAGTCCACATTTGTAATAGTGTGCCGAGAATGCCGCTTAAAAAGCAACCCCCATAAAATTCCCAACCACCGTTTCTTGGCAAGTGTAAAACATCTAGAAAAAAACTTATTGGAAAAAGAAAAATGACGCTGAAAAAATTTCTGTAATATATCTGTGTCGTGTTTGACAAATCTAAATTCATTTTAGACAAATATAAATAATAAATTATGTTTAATATGATGTGAGTTAACAGCCAAAGAATCGGAGAAATTGAATTTGGATTCGATATGAATATTATTATTATTATAATCGTTCCCAATGTTCCTGCGCTACCGCAAACTTTAAGCGATGCATTGCTCAATTCGATTTTTTTATCTAAAAATATCAATAGGGATGGATAAAGATTTGTAACTGCTAAAAATATTGGAACACTCTAGAAATAATAAAAGAATTTAAAATTAAATTCCAAAATTATTTATCCCGATGTGATTCATTCGAAATTTTCACATACCAACTCGGCTAATGCTTTCGAACCAGCGACAATTCCTAATGTAAAACAAATAAGTGCTGGCATGAGAAGTGATAATGCTCTGGCATCCAATATTTGTAAATCATTTTTAATTTTTTTTAATTTAATCAATGAACTTAATAATATAACACATGAAAATGTTTGCCATCCTTGAAATACTGTCGGTACTGTAAATCTCAATTCTGATAAAACAAACTGAAATGACACAAAACATCAAATTTTTTCAAATAATAATGAAGATTGTTAATTTTTCGTATGAATTGTTCATCATCATCGAAATTTATTGCTGTGAAGGATTTAAACGAAAAACAATCATCAAAAAATTTATAATTTTTTTTAAAAATCCATATGCTTAATAATTTTATTATACATAAAATTTCGTTTTTACCTTGTTGACAATCGTAACTGATATAAATAAAAATATAAAAAATATTTTATCAATTATTTTCGATACATATTTATAATTTTCAATTAATTCTAAATACATAATGAAAATTTATGTTAAAAATTTTAAAAACATTTTCAAAAAAATTTAAAATTTTTGTTAGTAAATATACAAGCAGAATGTTTTGATTAATGGATACAACAGACAACACACGAAATCGTGTTAAAATATATCAACCAATGAGAAATTTTTTTAAAAAAATTATCGACCAATCAAAAAATAGTTTTTTTTTTTTTCGTAAAATTCCATAGAGTAATAATAATTTTTTTTTGTAATTTCATTCCTATTTTGTGCACACATTTACTTTCTCGTTTTTAGTTACGATTTTATTAATTTATTTAGACCCATTTCTTCTAGACTATAAGTTTGTAAAATATTAATATGGTAAGATAATTTTATTTTATTCGTTTTACATAATTTATTAATATCGTATTTTTTTAAATCCTCCATTGTTTTTTTTTTTTTTTTTTTTTTAATTAAAAATCATCCTTCCAAATTATTTACATAAATTTTTTTTTATTAGACGTGATGTATTATTTATTTATAATTTCTTTTTTTTTATCACCTTGTTAACGTATAATTTTTCCCATTTTTCATTTTATATTTTATTTTTTTGATTTTGAAATATAATAAAATGAAAAATGTTAAAATTAAGTATAAAAGTATAGAGACTCTTATCACATTGATATAAAATTATTAGTTGCATTTTTCAATATTAAGAAATGAAATCTATGTGATAATTGTATGTAAATCGTTTTAAATGTTTACTCAAATAATTAAAGTCGAATTCTTTTGTTTAAAATTTTTTTCTGTTGTTTTTTCCCAATTAATAATTAAAATTAAAGTTAAAGTTCAAAGTTACAAATGTTTGTTTTGCATTAGAAAATTATGTTCAAGTAATTATGAGAGAAATAAATGAAAAAATTTTTTTTTAGGATGTTTTTTTAATGATTAGACGGAAAAAATTAACAATCTTTACAGATTGTAAAGATTCCACGAGTGTTTTAGAACTTAAAAAAATGATTGAAGGAATATTAAAAATATCACCCGATAATCAACAACTTTATAAAGATAATCAAATAATGGATGATGATAAAACATTGCAAGAATATGGCCTAATACCAAATGTAGCCAAAGCTCAATGTCCAGCACCGTTAGGACTTGCTTTAAGGTTGGAACCTGAAGGCGAATTCGAACCTCTCGATATAACACCTCTCTCTTCGCCTCCAGATTTACCTGATGTTATGAAAGTACCAGAAACAAATGGACAAGAAAGTGTAGCATGAATAATTATTATTTATTAAAAATTATTTATGCAGGGGAGGGGGGGAGGGGAAAAAAAAATCATAACTTAAACCATATATAAATCCAGTTAATATTCTTCTGGATGGTTGTGATTATATCATCATCATCATCATCATCATCATCATCGGCACCTCCTGTCACATAGGTCATATTTCTGCTAAATTATATATATTTGTTTTCTTTTTTATTAAAAATCAAATTTGAATAGTGATTTAGCTCTCTTCATATATATATATATATATATCGAAATCCAATTTTTTTTTTTTTTTTTTTTTTTCTTTTATTTATCGATATGCTAATTAATTAATTAATGGCTTCTGCTCTTTTATTTAAGAAAAAAAGAAAAAAAAAGAAGAAAATTTTTTACTCACTGCTGTTAAGTTTTAAATTTAAATCTAAATTTAAAAAAAAAAAAATTATTTAATGCAATAATAAAAACGTTTAAATATTATTCAATTTTTTTTTCGCTTAGTTTCTTTTGTGAATATAAAAAATATTAAAAAAATGGGAATGTAAATGTTCCAGACTAGTCAATGAATGAAAAAGAATGAAAAAGATGATGAAATAGTTTTAATAGTTTATTCATTTTAATAATAATAATAATAATAATTAATCGACCAGATTATTTATAATTTTCCTTAATTTTTATTTAACTTATTCGTTTATTTCATATGATTACATAGTCAGGATTTTGTTAGTTTAACCAAATTTATAAATATCGATAAGATTTACTAATTGTTATTATATGTTTATATATATATATATATATATATATATATATATATAATTTTTATATTATAATTATATATATATATATATAAACACACATCAATTATGGTTTTGGTTTCTTCTTTTTTTTCTGTGGATGTGTTCACAATTAAATGAAATTATTACGATTAATACCCTTGTAAAGTTTAATTAAATGGGGAGGGGAGGGGAAAACAAAAAAACAATAGTCATGTATTTATATATATCAATTATTTATTTTCAAAATAATATATATATATATATATATATATTTGTAATTTGTAATATTTGTTACTTTGGGGGAGGGGGAGGGAGAAGAAACACATTTGCTTTTATATGATAAAAATTAAGATGATAAAATTGTTAAATCGATTGAGGGAAACCATTAATGATTTAATTTTTTTTTTTAAAAAAATTTATCATTATTTATAATATATATATATATATATAAATTTATTGATACACTTTTTTCACTTAAAGACTTTTTATAAAATAAATAAATAATAATGAATTGTAATAATTTATTTTTTAAAACGAAAAATTTGAATACAATCAAAGTAAACTAATTCAAGATTTTTTTTTGTCGAAAAACATTTTCACATTATAAATTTTGAAAATATTAAATTATTTTTTAAAAAAATGATATGATAATAAAAGTTTTTCTTTGAGCACATTATTATTATTATTGTTGTTATCACGCCTTATTTATATACTCTTATATTACAACAATATTTAATAATAATAATAATAATATACTCAGGGATTAATTAATTGAAGAATTTGATTAAAAAGAAATTTTCGAAAATCATATGCAGAAATATCAAATATAGGATGGAGAAAAAAAAAAGAGTGTGATTATTTAATTATTAACATCAATAATAATAATAATAACAATTATGTTATTTAATTTTAATTAATTATCTGTTCTGAATTATTCCATTAACAATATGTGTAAATAATTAAAATGTAAAAAAATTAATTAGAGTTATTTTTTTTTAACTTTTATTTTTTTTTTAATAATAATTTATTTTTAAAAAAAAATTTTTTTCCATTAACATAAAAGGTAGTAATAAAAAAACATAAAGTTTTCATAATTTATAAATATATATATATTAATTTAATGTCTCATAAAAATATCACAAAATTTAATTAAATTTAGAATTTTTAAATAAATAATTTAAGGTATTAAATAAATCGATAAGTAAAATATAATTTAAGGTGTGGGAGTTTTTTGAGATTGTAAAAAATTAATGTATTTATCTTTTAAATTACTTTTCCCTGCCACATAATGTCCACCTGGATGTTTTAATATGACTGCATTAATGAAAACATTTGCTAAATCATAACTCATGTCATTGCTAATAATTTCATCTGTTTCTCCGATAACATGAAGACTGTTGATATGAATTTTTTCATCGTAATAATGAGAATGCAATGTGCACCTGGATTTAAAACCTGATACGATAATAGCAAATTTAAAATCAGGTTTGAATTGTTTTTTTTGTTTCAATGCACAAATAATTGATACAAGACAAGCACCTTGAGAAAAACCTAATAAAGCATCGAATGGACCATTTTCATCGAAATATTTTTTGACTAAATCTAAACTTTCTTCAAGACCTTTATCCAAATCTGTTACATCTCTCGAACTAAAACTATTTTCTTTAGTAAACCACCATGCTCTTTGATCGTAATCGTCTCCTTCTCCTCCTGATTCAAAACCTGGAATTCTATGAGGTGCTGATAAGAAGAAAAATTCTGCTTCATGCCTTAAATTTTTTCTCAATGCCCCCGTTTGACTTTTGAACTTCACAGCATTCTGACGATACCCGTGAAGACACAAAATCTATTTGATACAAATTAATAATTAATTATTTAAGAATATCGATTAACGATTTAAATAAATTATTAATGATTTTAAAATATTAAAATAAAAATATTATTTTTCAAACCTTAAATTTTGTATTCATAGATTAATCGAAATTGGAAACTCATTCATTTAATCGAATCGATATATCGAACGCAACATTTATTAAATTCATATACAAAGAAAAACAATAATATAAAACATTAAAATTATAAAAAGTTATTAAATAACAAATAATTTTTTAAAAATAAATATTATTTAATATCTAATAATCTTTCATTATTTAAAATAAGTATTTACACAAAAAATATTTTTAACCGATTTCGATATTCATTCGAGATATCGCCATTTAATGTACATTTCATAACGGCGGTTATTTTCCGGTTAAGTTATAACGACAGTGAAATCGTGTGTGTTGTAACAGTTTTCAAGTGTAAATAAAATAAAATGATCATTAAATAGTTTTTTAAACATGGAATACAATAAAATATTGTTTTCGCGTTTGATTTCATCATTTTTATGGACGGTAGTATTACAAGCTTTTCCGTTATCTTTTTATATTCTATTAACCAATTTCAATATAAAGCATCCTGTAGAATGGTTATTAAAACCGGTGTCTGTTGCATTTAGTTTTAGCACATGGTTGAGTTTAATACCCATTCATGCTTTAGTTTTTGCCATAGGATACATATTAGCTCAGGATCATCAAAAACTACCGTGTATTTGTAAAACAAGATTTCAATTTTTCTGTAACCTGTTCACAAAAATTAATTTTCTCAAATTATTTTTTTATTTTTTAATTGGATTAATAGTACCGTGGAGTTATTTAAATATAAATAAATTAACGTTATTCGTGAACTGTCAACAATTCCCTGATAAATTTTGTTTAAGTGATGGAAAAATATATTTAATTTCATGTGGATGTTGGACAGGAGTTTACTATTTTCTTAGATATGATTTATTAATTGAAAAACGTTTGGAATATCCAATAATAAGACAAATTAAATTTTTACAAATAAGATATAAATTTTTATCTATATTTTTTTCTTCATTAACTTCATCGCTCGTTCCAATATTTTATTACTTGGCATTTTATTTGTGTTATGGAAAGCATATAATTTGGCTTTTTGAAGTTTTTTTTTCCGCTCAAGTCGATTCATCAACAGTTACAAATACAAGTTTATTAAGTGTTTCTCAATTGGTGCACTTGTGGACAATAACAACTTGTGTTATATTAATTTTAAGAGTTTTGAATTTAATGATTCAAATTCATTACACTGAACATTATTCATTCACATTAATTAAACAGCCAAATGTTGATTCCATCATATTATCTGCAGCACTGTCGGAAAGGAATATGCCTATCATACAACATTTGGCTTGTTACGATCTTTACATCATGTCTATGAGCCCAAGATCGAACAGATGGCAAATTTTCACATTGAGTCAACCAGGTGGTCACCCACACACTTGGAATGCCATATTAAACGAGTGTATAAAATTAATAGAAGAATTCATATTAAAAATTGAAGATATTTACAAAGTCAAAACTCCTGTTAAACCGCCACCCATAGTGCCGAAACACATTCATCCAAGAAGCATGAATGTCAGATATGAAGAAATATTAACAAGTCCTGTACCTTTATCGCCTATTAACAAACTCAGGAATTTAGTCGAAGAACCAGGAATGCCATTTATACATGAAGAACGTTCTATACTTGATGATTTTTGGATAAAAATTGGTCATGTTAATGAAATGATAAAAAAAAATTCAATCATAAATTACATATTCAATTCGAAACCGGATGTTGAAATTCGTTTTATTTTATCTAATTCTCAACCGTTGATTTGGGTTGTACAAAGTCTTTCGGAACTTTCAGCGAATGCTTTATATGAAGATCAATTTGGTATTGTTTTGAAAGATTTACCATTGATTATAAGCACATTACTCAGATTGAAATTTTCAGTTGATAAAATAGGAAATTTGCAAAATAAATTTCAAAGACGTGATACTGATTTGTGCATGAAATCATCATTGAAATCGGCCATCAGGAGAAGTTTGTATAGGATAGCTGTAGCATATTCAGATTATTTACCCGATTTACCATTATCAGTTGAAAATCTCAATTGCATGAAAAATTTTGGTAATTTCAAAGAAAATTAATGAATTTCCTCCCCCTTTTTTTTTTTTTTATCGATAATATTTTATTGACATCAGAAAAATTACTTTTTTTTTTTTTTTTTTTTTATTTTCAATTTTTACTATTATTATTATTATTATTATTATTATTATTATTTTCTCTTTAATTTATTAACATTATATGTATGTGTATATATATATAAATATTTGAGATATCGAAAATAATTTTTTTTTTTAATTAAACATATTGTAAGACATTATCATTGACTTTTTTTTTAACCCTTTTCGAAATCTTTTTCATTTAACAAGAGGTCAAACATAATAATAAAAGTAAAAATTTTCTTTTAATGACGTCATATATTTTTTTTTTTTACAAATTATTTATTATTATGTAAAGTATTAAAATTTCAATGCTTTTATTAAACATAAATTATAATGCAAATCTTTTTCTAATTTATCCCAACCGTTTTTTTGTATTTTTTCCAAACTTTCCAATTCGTTTAACAATTCCTCGTGTCCGGTTATGAATTCTCCGTGGATTTTCAAAAATAAACCCAAATAAGCTTGAGCCAATTCGAAATTCATTTTCTTATTCAAAACGTTCGTTATCATTTTAACGAATTGTGATAGCAAACGAATCGTTTCCGTATCCGATGCCGTGGACAAAGAATTAATTTCGTGGTCTATAGTCGAGGGTCCCATGGATTTGAGTTTATCGAATGCGTTGTTGTAATCCGCCGCGTCTTCTGCTTTTTTCAGTAACGTACCGAAACCCGTGAGCGCGTCCCAATCATTAAACGATATTTCTTTTTTCTTGTCGTCTATTTTCTCGACCGAACTCAAATCGAATGTCACGTCGAGACCGGGGATAGTTGGTAAGAAAAATGGCGCCATTTTTCCAACTTGAAGTTTTTCTTTCGGTTTGTTACGTTTTTTGATGAGGTCGATGTTGAGAAGGTTTTTCCACCGGGAATTCGGAAGCGTCGACAAAGTTATCAAATCTTCGATTTGTTCGGGTGATTTGTAATCTTCTTCTTCGTCCGATTCATAACCGTCCTCGTCGCCATGTTGTGGCGTCTCTTTCGTGACCGATGGAAGACCGAGAAGTGGAATTTTGTCTAAATCTTTTATGGGTTTCAAATTAACGTGTTCGTACAATGTTCTATTAGCCCATAAAAATATTCCGAGATATTCGACGTGAGCCGTGGCTAAATATTCTCCAGTGGGTGAAAATGTCAACGATATGCAGGGTGCCTCGACCTGGAAAAGAAAACGGTAAGTACAAAAAATTTGTTAAATTCTTTTACTCGAATCATTATCAAATCACCTTAAAATGATCTATGAGACATCCGGTTGGAATATCCCATGTGAATATGCAACTGTCCATTCCGGATGTGATCAACCACCTTGAATCGGGACTGAATGCCATGTCCATTATTTTACCAGAGTGCCCTATGAACTTTCTCACAATGTTACGTCCATCGTTATCAACAACGATAACGTTAAAATTTTCAAGAGCTACTGCAGTTAGGGAACATTCGACATGAGTCGAAAAAAATGAGACTCCATCTTCCAATTCTATTTTGCACAATTCTTTTTTACATAATTCACTTTTGAAATTCCACCATTTTAATAATCCATCTCCTCCTCCTGTTATAACAAATTGATTTAACAAATCTGTAGTTATTCCTCTGACAGGTCCATCATGAGCAGTTTCTTTTCCGTAAGTGTCACGATACAGTCCAGACTGAATATTGAACCTATCGCAATGTCCAGATGTGTAACCTATCAATATAAAATTTCCACAATGAGTCAAATGTACACTAACTGGAAATGCTTTCATAACAACTCCATTAATCGACTTTTTCATAAATCTTTCATGTTTTAAAAAATGTTCTCCCATTCTTATTTTATCATATGACCAAGTCGTGACTTCTTGCGTTCCTAAATGAATCGCTCCAATATTATCCCATTCTTTTTCTCTTGTCGTGTTCGATGCGAATTTTATAATCGGAGGCATTTTATATGTATCTATATCTAACCTGCTTTTTTTCTTTGATTTTTTCCTATTTGTCGATGCTTTACCTAAACTTTTATTAAATCTTTCTGTAACTGTATTAAATATCCTTAAATGAGAATCACCACCTGCACTTAATAAATTATGACCTTTCGCATCGTGAAATCGAATAAATGTTGGAGGAAGCGAGTGTCCCTCTCTTTTTATATAAAGTCTAGGTCCCCCATCAGGCATATCGAATATCCATAATTTTATTGAATTATCAGGTGAAGATGATACCATCAACTGCGAACCTTGTAAACATTGTAAACCTGTAACGCTGCTATCGTGAGCGTTTAAATACTGAGAGAAAACTTTTCTTTCCTCGAGATCCCACAATATTAAATGACCGTAAATAGTTCCAGAGATTAAAATTGGTGATCCGTCAAGTTTAAAACTTAATGCAGTCACCATTCCCCACTCTTGTTTAAATTCCATAATTGTTTCATCAAATTTTAAATTGTGAATTAAAATTCTTCCATTTTTTAATCCTATACCGACAACATCGAGGGATGGAGCTTGAACCACGGTTGTCACACCAGAATTCCATCCTTTAAAAGTATATATTAGTTTAGAAGTGTTTAAATTCCACAATTGAAGGGATCCTTGTTCACTACCCAATAGTATTTTATTTAAATAAGATGAAGGATGCATACAACAACTAATTTCAAATACATCATTGTTAAATTCCAATTCTAATAAAAGTTCTGTACTTTTTATATCCCATAATTTCAAATTACTTTTTTCGTCGATACTTATAAGGCTGGGACCGAAGGGTAACATTAATTTAATCGGATATTCGTGTCCGATATATTCATGTTTTAATTCTGTTCCTCTTCTCCAGGCATAAATATTATTTCCCGAACCGGTGAAAATTAAATAATTGTCACCGGCTATGCAAGTAATTTCATCAGAATGTAAATCACTGACGGTTAATAAAGCCAAATGTTCTGAACTGTACGTGTGAAACGATTTTCCTACGCTGGTCACAAAAAAATACTCTCTTCTTCTTTTTATATATCTCGTCACGACGGGTAAATGATTTGTTACGTAGCCTAACGCCCTGTACCTTAAAAATATTTTACTGGAAGAAGACATTGTAAACAAACAAAACCTTAAATAAACCTTGTTTTCAAAAATCTCACGTGGACGGTTCCATTGAAACAGTAAATAATATCATAGAGTTGATTGTATTACTCTATGAAATTCTACCTCATACGATTAGTAAATTGTAATTTTGAACTTAACTGTAAGTTCGATTGTAATATTAAAATTTATGTATTTTAATTAGTGTAATTTAATTTGTTGACAATTTCATCAACTTTTTAACTTGTTGAAAATGCTTCAAGAAAAAATTTTAATGAGAAAAATAAAAAATCGAGAGAAGAAAAAATTAAAAATCTTGTCGACTAAAACGAAAGGTTAGTTCTAACCTAATCTTGTAACATTAACCATGTGTTATTAATTTTTTTGAACAAAATGGGGGGAGGGAAAAAAAAGCTTTTTAATTATAGTTATCGATTAGAACTTAGCTATGGTTACTCTCGTAATGTTCCTTTCTATTTTTTGACAAAAAATTATTTTAAGATTAATTTATTCAATAGTAATATCATTGGGTTCTTGTTTAAATAGAATTTAAACAATTAGTATCTGCAGAAGAAGACAAAGCTTCCGAAAAAGAAGTTGATGATCACGAAGAAGAACCTGTTAATGCAAACACAAATAAGCAAAAGAAAAAAAAACGAAAGCATGAAAAAGAGGAGAGCATTTCAGAATTGAGCGAAGAACAAGAACTCTCGAAAAAGTTAAAAAATGATTCAGAAATTGACGATGACAAGAATTTAATTGAAAATGACAATGAAGAAAATGAAGAAAATGTTGAAAATGGTACGCCTAATGTTACTGAAAACATTCAAGATGATGGTGTGAAAAGTGAGTATGTTATGCATAATTCTGATTAACTTAAAAACGATTTTCTTATGTAAGTGAAAAGTCGATTGTTTTAAACAAAAAAAATATTTTCAATTCATTTCAGTGCCTGGTTCAAGTTTAACTTTAGAAATTTTAAGCGACACAAAATTTTCATCATTGGAAGGTAAAGTGTGTGAAAATACTTTGAAAGCGATTGTGGACATGGGTTTTACGACAATGACAGAAATTCAAGCTAAAAGTATTCCGCCTCTACTGGAAGGAAGAGATCTTGTCGGTTCTGCTAAAACAGGCTCTGGAAAAACTCTAGCATTTTTAATTCCTGTAGTAGAATTAATATACAAATTGAAATTTCTACCCAGAAATGGAGTCGGTGCTATTATTATATCACCGACACGAGAATTATCAATGCAAACATTTGGAGTCCTTAAGGAATTGATGAAATATCATTATCACACATATGGACTTGTTATCGGGGGAGCTAATAGGAAAGCAGAAGCGGAAAAATTAAGCAAAGGAATAAATATATTGGTGGCAACTCCTGGAAGACTCTTGGATCATCTTCAAAACACTCCGGGATTTTTGTTTAAAAATTTACAATGTTTAGTCATAGATGAAGCGGATAGAATATTAGATATAGGATTCGAAGAAGAATTAAAACAAATTATTAATTTATTACCAAGTAAGTAATTATTTATTTGTCTGAAAAAAATTTATTTAATTTGTACTGGGTTTCTCTTTTTGAATTGCCTGTGTGTGTGTGTGTGTGCGTTTTTTAATTTTTTAGAAAGGCGTCAAACGATGTTATTTAGTGCGACGACGACAGCCAAAACGGAAAATCTAACGAAATTAGCACTCAAAAAAGAACCCGTTTACGTGGGGATAGACGATAGGAAGGAAAAGGCGACGGTTGAGGGTTTGGAACAAGGCTACGTTGTGTGTCCGTCCGAAAAACGATTCCTCTTGCTTTTCACATTTTTAAAAAAGAACAAGAAGAAAAAAGTGATGGTTTTTTTTAGCTCTTGTTTATCCGTTAAATTTCACCACGAGTTGTTAAATTACATCGATCTTCCCGTCATGTGCATACACGGAAAACAAAAACAAGCGAAAAGAACGACGGTTTTCTTTCAATTTTGCAACGCGGAATCGGGTATTCTCCTGTGCACGGACGTTGCCGCTCGTGGTTTAGACATTCCTGCCGTGGATTGGATAGTTCAATACGATCCACCGGACGATCCGAAGGTATTTGTTTTTTTCTTCCCCCCCAACCTCCCTAGCCCCCCTCCGTGTGAACAAGATTTTTCTGGCTTTGATGATTACCGAGACTTGAACGTTTTACAACGAAGTCGAGTCCACATTTGGGGTGGATTCCTTCGAAGTGAACGTGAAATGATTGATGGAAGCTTTGATCTTATCTGAGCCACTATCATACCTTCTGTCAAAATAAAAAAAAAAACAAATTTTTGTCGATTTATTTAATTCGTTCTCTCTTTTTTTAGGAATACATACACAGAGTTGGTAGGACTGCTCGAGGTGAGGGTAGCAGCGGTCATGCACTCCTCATTCTCAGACCGGAAGAACTTGGATTTTTAAGGTATTTGAAACAGGCGAGAGTTCCGTTGAACGAATTTGAATTTTCCTGGAGTAAAATAGCAGATATTCAAGTACAGGTACGGAAAAAAAAATATTTATTATGGGGGATTTTTTTTTTTTTTTTTTTTTTTCGTTTTCTCTCCAACGAAACATTTGCGTGATTTAACAATTTAAATCCTTATAAATTATCTACACCTTCGAGCGATTTTTTTTTATTTTTTTTTATTTTATTCTTTTGAAAACCGCATAAATAAAAAATAAATAAATGTCGAAGTGCGTGCGTGCGTGCGTACATGCGTGCGTTTTAGCCGTTTCCTGATTTACCATAAAAAAAAAAAATAAATACGCATAAAATCACAAAAACTCGATTTCGTTTTTATGGATTTAGAAATTTAGTATTATTATTATTATTATTATTATTGTTGTTGTTGAATAAGGAAAGAAAACGTTTAAAGGAAAGTTTAAAAAAAAAAAAAAAAAAAAACATTTTAATTGTAATGGATTTGTTATGTCTTAACAAAGAGAGTGAAATGACAGAAGGTGGCAAAAAGTCAATTGAGGGCTCGAAGCCAGTTGAAAGTTAAAAAAACTAACACATAAAGTTGATGGATAGAATCTGTCTTGAACACGTTATTATTATTATTATTATTATTATTATTATTATTATTATTATTATTATTATTCTTGGCACCTTTGCTCTTTTGTTATGAATCAGGCCGATTAAAACGCGCACGCACACGCACATTTATACGCACACGCGATGGTAGGCGACGGTACGAACAAAAAGAGTAAAAGAAAAAAAAAAAAAAAAATTGCTGTCGGAGGTATTGTGTGTGACAGGGCTTCGATGGATGTCCAAATCCCAATACTCCTCCCCCTTCTTGACCGTGCTCACGGGGGTCTTTCTTTCCACCCCCCCCCCCACAGTACGTTTTCTACGTTCTCTTATTTTCTCTCATTCATCAAATCCTCGTGATAATGATTATGTTTTCGGTTCTTCCTCCTGTTCCGCTGCAGTCAGATGTGTGTGCAAAACTGTCCGTTGGTTGAATGCTGTCGTGATCGAAAAGTGTGTCTGGGGGTGCCTGGGGGGGGAGAGATTGTACGAAACCACAATGTTCGCGACAGGATTCCCCACGTCACAGGGTCACGTCGAAAACTTTTAAATTTTCTCGAGTTTATATTATTATCATCATCATCATCGTTATCATTGCATTTTTTTTTTTGATTTATTGCGGGGGGGGGGTCAAACTCACGCGTGAACTTTGTATGTATTTTTATTTTAATTATTATCATCATCATCATTTTGATCGTTACATATGTTATCATAGTAATTTTTGAAATTGACAGACACTTTTATCGGGAATTGATATAAAAAAAAACTCGTTTAAATCATCGACGCGAAAGAAAAAGTTATTGATAATAATAATAATAATGATGATGATGATGATGATGATGATGATATTTCCATGCCGTATCGTCTTTAATCAATTTTGAACGGCCCTAAAGTTTTAAACGACGAGTCGGATGGTGTCGATCAAAAAAGAAAAATTTTAGCGGAAGAGGATTAAATGAGGGGGGAGGGGACCCCCCTTACCATCCTTCAGGTACCCGATGGTATAATTAATAGATTTCGAGGGTTTGTTCGGGTCGTCGTGACGCGTGCCAATTGATGTTCCGCCGCCACCATCACCACCACCGAAGAGGGTCTCGTTATTATTATTATTATTAATATTGAAATTTTTCCGTTAAACATTTCGAGTCAATTGACTTCGTTAAAATGCCATTAATATCAATAATAATAATAATAATAATAATAATAATAATAATAATAATAATAATAAATTATTTATTTATTTTTCGGTTAATTTGTGTTGTACGAATGCGAGTCGGACGCGAGCGTGACGATCGAAATTATTTGATCCGGGATAAACGGAAACGTTAGAGAAAACGCGCGCGCGCGCGCATTTCGAATTGTTATTATAATCATCATTTATCATTGTCTTTTATTATTATTATTATTATTATTATTATTATTATTATTTTATCACGGGGTATAAACATGGACGAAACAAAAGGTAAAAAAAAAAAAAAAAAAAAAATTTCCGACGGCCGTTCGTGTCAATTTTCCTTTTTTCATACGTTTACGAATATAAATTTTTGAAAAAAAAAAGTGTCAATAGACAATATTGTCAAACGGGTTTTTTTTTTTTTTTTCTCCATATCGTTTCCGCTTTAATGGATACGAAAAAAAAAAAATAATAATAATAATAATTTGTAATGATTTTATCGTCCGGTGCCGAATTTCAGGTTCGTAAATAATTTTCTTTTAAAAAAAAAAAAAAATTCGATGTGGGAGTTCTCGCGAGTTAATAAAAAAAAAAAAAAAAAAGAAAATTCGATTAGTCGAATCGAACGAGCGGAAGATTTAGAAGAAGAGGAAGAGGGAGAAAGAGAAAAGGAGGGAATTTTTAAAAATTTAAATTTTTTTTTTTTTTTTTTTTTTTTTTTACGATAATTGGGGATATAATTTTTTTCAATCTTCCAGATTATTATTATTATTATTGTCAATTTGAAATTAGTGATAAGGCGCGATATCAATTGGAGTCTCGTATTGGACGATAAACAAATTATTATTATTATTATTGTTATTATTATTATTATTTATACATTTTTGCGACGATGAGAAGGGACAAAAAAATGCGTCGCAATTTTGAAAAATCGTTTTTCGACAAGCCGAATACGTGGGTAGGGGGGAGGGAGGGAGGAAGGACATGTGTGTGTGTGTGCAGGAGAGGAATAAGGAATGAACCGAAAATGATTAATAATTTACTACGTCCCTGTTTTTTTTTTTTTTATTTTATTTTATTTCAAGATGGTCATCGTGAGTCGATTCGACGAGTTTTTATTATTATTATTATTATTATTATTATTATTTTCTTAGGTTATTATCAACGATTTCAAATTTTTTGTTGTTGTTGTTGTTGTTGTCGATGTGATTATCGATAACGATAATCGGTTGTCGTTTGCACACAAAAAAAAAAAAGAAAAATGGCCGTAATAAAACGTTCGGTCATCGTCGGCCATTTTTTTTTTTTCTTCTGCTTCTTGTTTTCCCTCCATTAGAGGGCGTCGATGGAAAAATGTTTAATTTATTTTGTTTTGTTTTTTTTTTTTTTTTTTTTTTTTGCTTTTTTTTTCCGGGGACATTTATTTTTCCGTCGTCCAGCTGGAGAAATTAATCGGTAAAAATTACTTTCTCAATTTGTCAGCCAAAGAAGCTTTTAAATCGTACGTACGAGCCTACGATTCTCATCATTTGAAAAACATTTTCGACGTGAACACGTTGGATTTGGAAAAAGTCGCGACGTCATTTGGATTCACGGTACCGCCGAGAGTTGATCTTCGTATCCTTTTTATCGTGATTTGAAATGTGATGGGGTGACGGTGGAGCCATCCGTCGTTCGAATCTGTCACCATCATCATTATTATTAAGACGACGCGATGTTGTTGTTGTATTTTCTCCTTAACTTGTTTGCTTTACAGAAGTCGGAGGTGTTAAAAGTGATCGACCTAGAAAACGAGGAGGCGGCGGAGGTTTCGGTTATTCGAAAAGTTTCAATAGTAATAAAAAAGAAAGGAAATCAATAATTTTCAAACAGCCGAAAGGGAAAGGAAAATTTAGTTTTCAATGACGATGACGACAATGACGACGGCGACGGGGAGACGTCGAGGGGGGGAACGGTTAATTTTTTTATTTTTTTTTTTTTCAGGATCCACGGATGGGGGAAAAAGGAGAAAAGGGGAAAAGCGGATGAAAAACGAAGGTGAAAATTCGTGTGACCACGTTTCCCCCTCCCCCCGTTGCTCCCCTTACCATCATTCCGCTTCTGGAATGTTTGATATTATTAATAATAATAAAATTAATTAAAAAAAAAAAAAAATGGAGTTTTTTCTTATAGGTTCCTTCTTATTGATAAATAATATTAAATATTAATTTTTATGTCATGGAAGAGAGAGAGAGAGAGAGAGAGAGAGATAGAAAATTACACGGCGGCATAAACGCGTGTAATTATATAATTAATTTTATTATTATTATTATTATTAATCAATATAATTTTTTATTAACGTCTTCTGCTTTACAGCTCGCCGAAGTAATAAAAACCGAATAATTTAATGAAAAAAAAAAATTTTTTTTTTTTTTTTCGAACGTTTCGCGTAATAAAAAGAAAAAAACGAATTTTTTATTCAGGCGGAAATAAGGTGGAAAAGTAACCGGAAGTAAAAAGCAAAAAGATTCGAAAAATTAAAATTAAAATTATTCGGTTTTTGGCGGGATCGGAATGGAGGAGGGGGGAAGGGAAAATAATTAATTTTGATTTTTTTTTTTTTTGAATTTCCGCCATTATAGCCAATGACGCCGCCACCGCCACCGCCACCCACGTTTGTTTGTTTGTTTGTTTTTTTCCTCCAACAAACATAAAATTTGTTAGCTAACACCCGTTATCGTTGATGATAATATTCGTATTTTATTAAATTTCGTAACGATTAATTCATTTTTTTTTTTTTTTAATGTTATGAGTGAATGCAAACGTGAACGCACACACGCACACACACTCTCTCTCTTACGCTCATTCTCTTTTTTCCTCTCTCTTTCTCTCTTTCCTTTTAATTTCGTTAGGTAACTATTTATGGTTACGGAAAACACGATCAATTAATATCGTATCCCTTCCTCCCCTCCTTTCCCCCTTTCCACCTCCCACCGCCGACGTATCGTAATAACGTATTTCTCATTTTTCCAAACAAGGTCGAATTGTCGGATAGTCGGTCAGGTTAAAAAGGTTTTTTTTTTAAATATCTCTCTCTCTCTCTCTCTCTTTGAATGAAAAATATCTGGGAAAACTGGAAAATGTCGTTTGAAATCGTAAGTTTTTTCTCCTCGCGCCCCTCCTCTTCCCTTCCGCCCACCTCCTCCCGCCTCATCTCCCTCCCCTTCTTCTCCTCCCACACCGCCTCCTTCTCCTTCTTCTTATCATTTTCACGTATAGATTTTACTCAATCAAATCGGATGATAATTTTTCTTTTTTTAATTGCAATTAATTAATTACTCTCGTTTTATTATTATTATTATTATTATTATTATTATGGCGTAAGTTAAACATCAATTTTTTTTTTCTGGGACGAACGGGTACGAAAAATTTAAAAAAAAAAAGGTAGATTTTACGGTTAGTCGGAAGAACTGGACAATAAAAAACGATAATTTCGATATATCGAACGAGTTAAAATAGCGGAAGTTTTTTTTTTGTAACCGTTACCACTACCACCACCACCACCATCACCATCACCATCATTACCACCATCGCCATCGTCAATTGAAAAAAATCTATTATCATGTTATCGCAAGTTCACCCACTCGAGAAGGTTCACGTAGGAAGAACGAGAAGTGAAAAAAAAAAAAAAAAAAAAAAAAATTACGAATCTAACCTCAAGGCCTTATTGGCAGATACCCGCCACCATCACCTCCACCACCCCCGCTACCGTCACCACCACCACCACTACCGATCCTCTTTAACGAAAATTAATTTTTTTTTTGAAAACGTGTAAAAACTCGCGCACGCGTTCATTCATACACTCATTCATTCATTCATTCGTTTCATTCATTAATAATTTTTTTATTCGGTAAAAAAAAATTTTCTTGTGACGACGATGGAGACGATGACGATGATGATGATGATGATGATGATGATGACGACGTAATCGCCCGTGTCGTTTTTTTTTTTTTTTTTTTTTTTTTTTTTTTTTTTTTTTTTTGAATTTACAAGTTGTTGTTGTTGTTTGTTGTGCGTTTCGAGGTTTTTTTTTTTTTTTTTTTTCTGAAAAGTTGTTGTGCAATTATTATTACTACTACTACTACTACTAATACTCTTTGGTACCTACATTCATATGCGTGGGCGATCGTGGCGCCGCCAATCTTTTTTTCCTTTTTTTTTCATTATTATTATTATTATTATTAATATTTTCACCTCAATCTTGAAAATGTTTACCTAACTATTAAGATTTTTGTTTTTTTTTTATTATTAATTTAACTTAAAATAAGTTATAATGATGATGATGATGATAATAATAAAAACAAACGAACAAACGATTTTTATTACGAGTAGCAGAAGAAAATTAAGACGAGTTTTTATGTCGAGTCCATGTTTTTTTTTTTTTTTTTTTTAAATTTTACTAGTAGCGTGAAAAATTAAAAATTTGGCATGCGTTTAAAAAAAAAAAGCAGACGACGAAAATTGTGTCATCGATTTTGTCATTTATTATCATTATTATTATTATTATTATTATTATTATTATTATTATTATTATTATTATTATTATTATTATTATTATTATTGTGAAATTAACGGTTTTTTTCGTTTTTTTATAAATTCTAATTTTAAAAAACTTTTTCAAATGATGATGATGATGATGATGATGATGATGGTGGTGGTGGTGGTGGTTACGCTTTTTAACTCGATAATTAAAATCTCCGACCTAAATTTTTTATCATTATTATTATTATTATTATTATTATTTTGGAGTGTGAAAGTTTGGGGGAAGGGTGGAGGGGGTGTGTGTGTGTGTGAAAATCTTGTGGAAATTTTGAGAATTTTTCCAAACTTTGAGAATGACTGAGATGATCACTTTATTGATCGTTTTCGTTCCAGAAAAAAAATGAAGTTCCAGCTTACGCGGCTCTAATCTTTTCTAATAAACTTTATCATCATTATCATTATTATTATCATTATTATTATTATTATTATTATTATTATTATTATTATTATTATCATTAACGTTGTTGAAATCGAAAAAAAAATCAAATACGTTTCGGTAATAAAATAATGATGATAGTAATGAATAAATAAAAGAATTTTTTTTTTCGCCTTTTTTAACGCCCAAATCGAACGTTTATTATTATCATTATTATTATTATTATTATTATCATCGTGACGAATTTTGATTACGTCACGGTTTGTTATCATTTTTTTTTTTAATAATTTCACGATTGAATTTAACGGTTGAAAAAAAAATTAAAAAAAAAAAAAAAAAAAAAATTTTCTCTCTCGAATTCGTTTCTTCGTCATAAATATTATTCATATTCAATAATAATAATAATAATAATGGTAATAATCGTAATAATAATAATAATAATAATAATATTAATATTAATGATGGTAATGACATAATAAACAATTTGTCACGATTATAATATTAATAATAATAATAATAATAATTTTTTTTTTCTGTTTGCGAAAAACAAAAAAAAAATAATTTTTTCGCTTTGACATTTTGTTTTATTATTATTATCATTATCATTATCATCATTATTAATAATTTCTTATTTTAAAAATTACAAAATATTTTAAAAATAAAAACGAGCTCGAAAATACGTAGTGATAATAATAATAATAATAATAAAACGTTACGAAATAAATGTTGTGTGATGCATGTGCATGCACTACGGATTAGAGAGAGAGAGAGAGAGAGAAAAACCATTAAAATAATTATATATATATTTATTATTATTATTATTATTATTAATATTAATATTATTATCATCATCATTTTGTGTTTTTTTTTTTTTTCATAAATAACGTGGAAATAGAATATGATTTTTATTGATTTTCGTAAATGAGCGATGAAAAAAAAAAAAAAATTAATTTGATTGGTTTAAAACAGGAAGTGGTGGCATCATCATTATCATTATCATTATCATTTCGTTTGGCGAAGGTTAAAATCGAATATATTTTCTCTCTCTCTCTCTCTCTCTCTCGTTGCCTATATAATATTATATTTAATTAATATTAAATTTTAATTAACCGTGAAACGCGCAATTTAATTATTATCATTATTATCATTATCATTATTATTATTATTTATTCAATTAATGTTTCGAATGCGTAATAAAAAGATGGGGGGGGAGAATATTCGAGAAAATTTATTTTATTTTAATGAAAATTTATTTTCCGAACAGCCTTGTAATGGAAAGAAAAAAAAAGGCATTAATGTTTGTTATACAAATCCGTAAATTTATTATTTATTGAATTTTTTTTTTTTTTTACATAACATTTACGCCGTGTGTTACGTACCGTATGTTATTATTATTATTATTATCATCATCATTATTATCATCATCGTTCGTTAACGTTCCGATGTGGGGGGACTTCGATAGGGAAAATTTTTTTTTTTTTTTTTTTTGGTTGAAATGAAAGGGTTGTTTGTAATTGCGGAAACGTTGATAAGAAGAATGTTGGGGAGAATGAATGAATGAAAGAGAGAGAGAGAGAGTGAGAGAAAGAATGAAATGGTAGTCAAATAGCCGAAAGGTTAAATCGCCATCGCGTGGGTGAGTGAACGTATAACGACAAAGTAGCCACCACGCTCGAGGTGGTAGAGGTGATGGTGACGGTGGTGGTGGTGGTGTCGGTGGTAGCCGTTTATACGTAACCCGTCGCGAAAAAACAATATTCGGTATTACCAACACCTCCCTCCTCCTCCCCCCTCCCCGATTTCCCACGCCTACCCTCCTTCCCTCCCTTCATTCTTGCAAACACCCACGATCCACGTATACCGTCTCTCTCTCTCTCTCTCTTCTGTCCTTTTACTCTTTTTTCCTTACCTTGCTCACCTGCTTCTCTCTCTCTCTCTCTCTCTCTCT